TGATTGCTCGTTATGGCTAGTTTTGTGAACCCCACCTCCGCTGTGGGCGCAGCCACCTTGTGTTATGGGAACCCTGCCTCTGCTGTGGGTGCAGCCATCTTGTGATGTAGTGATGGAGTGAGGGTCAATTAGCATATTACATCTTTATTATATAAGATGAAAGATTGATTTTATTCTTTTTAATTCTTAGTTTTTTAAATTTTGAAGACTCTCTACCATTTATTTCTACTTATATCATTTTCTTAAAAATCTATTGAATTATGCACTTAAAATGCTTGATTGAATGGATAAAGCTAATTATTATGTATCCAAGGAGACCAACCAGTTATAATCCCTGATCTCTAGATTAGATGGAATATAGATAAGAAACAGGAAGTTATAGTACAGGGCTATCATAAGGGGAAATATAAAATACGTTGGGGAGCATGTATGGGAAGATCCTAACCCAGACTTTAGGAATTAAGAAAGGCTTCCGAGCCTGGCCTGTATGGCTCATTTGGTTGGGTGTCATCCTGTGGTCCTGTGCACCGAAAGGTTTCTGGTTCAATTCTGGTTGGTGCACATGCCCATGTTGCGAACTCGATCCCCATGCAAGACTCTCTCCCTCCTTCCCTCTCTCCCTCCCTTAAAGAGGCTACTGGTATGTGTGTCTTTTTATGTTATGTTTCCATTTTGCACGATCTACCCCTTCCCCACCTCAGCTCTTTGCCTTATCTGTGTTACTGTCACTTTAGCAGAAATACAGCAGCTGTTTGCATCAGGAAAAAAAAAAAGGCTTCCTGAAAAAAGTAACATCTGAGTTGAAATTTGAAGAGTCAGAGTTAGGCAGGTGATGCAGACAATGTGATGAACACCTACAAAAACCTATAGAGATGAGCAAGTATGGCACATTCAGGGAGCTATAGGAGAGATATCTTCTGTGTTATAAAAGTAATGGTCAGATTAGATAGAAGCAAATTTTGGTACTGTTGATAACTAAAAATATTTTCTGTTCTCAGACTTCTTTGCCATCAGATGAGCCGGTAAAGGACCACAGCACAGCAGGCAGAGTAGTTGCTGGTCAGATATTTCTTGATTCAGAAGAGTCGGAATTAGAATCACCTATTCAGGAGGAGGAAGATAGCCTCAGGAGCCAAGAAGGGGAAAGTGGCACCGAGGAAATCAGCTTTCTAGAATCTTCAAATCCAGAAAACAAAGATTATGAAGAACCAACGAAAGTACGGAAACCAGGTAGTCTGGACTTTTTCTTTGCTTTTGCCTAATTTAGGAAGGAGATGACTGAAATTTTAAAGCTAGTGTAAAAAGATGCAGAAATCTGGGTTTAGTGATTATTAACCACATATAATGTATAAAATTTAGTTTTATAAGATTTCCACATATCAAAGTTAAGAGTTATTCACTTAACAGATTTGACCCACTTTACATTGGCCAAATTCAACAGTCAAAATTGAATTCGTATTATATTTATTCTAACATTTATTTTTGGACCCCAGTATGTAATAATCTGTGAGAGTGGTACACACAATAGAAACTCAGGAAGGATTGTCTAACATGCTACTTTGGTTAGTTTCAGAATTGTGTTAGGATTTTTGCTGCCCTACCTTTTCAGTCATCCTAGGTAATTTGATTTATGTATTTATTCCTCTGTAATTGAAGCTTACATAAACTTCATCCTCTTTAATCCTCTTCTAACTTTCACCTTGACATCCTTTGTTTTTTCATTTAAAACGTGATCTTTATCACAGCAGAGGTGTGTCCATTATGCCCTATCCCTCCACCCTTCTAGCATTTTGTTCAAAGATCTCTGCTATACCCATTTATTACTCCATTGTTAGCCACTTTCAGGACTTGATTGAGATTTTTACCTTTTAAAAATATAATTTTTAATTACAAATATTCCATACTCATTAATAGAAAAACCAATCTAAAAAATTAAAAATACCTTAATCCCAACAACTAGAAATAACAGCTATTAACATCATGGAGAATTAATTACTCTTTCCAGCTTTTTTGTAGATGTGTGGTTTAAGACTAAATTGGATCAAAATGTACATGCTATTTTACTGCCTGCACTTTGCACTTAACAGTTTATCTTTACCATTTTCCTATATCATGTAAAACTTTGAAATAGGTTGTATATGTATATATTGCTGGGAGATCATTTTAGATGTTTCTTGTGCACATCTATGAAAATTTCCTGAGAATTGGTTCTTAAAAGTGAATTTGATGGACTAAATACAAAATTTTAAAAGACATTTGATACATATTACTAAATTGTTCTTCAGAAAAATAAGTTGGTTTACTTCCTTTGACACTACCTTTTATTCCAATATCTAGGCCAGATGTCTATTTCCATTTTTAAATTTGGGCCAAGTATTATAGTTTAATTCATTCCTTTTTCTTGTTTATCTTTTCTTTAAATAATTTTTTATTTTTCAATTACAATTGACATACAACATTATATTAGTTTCAGGTGTACAACCCAGTGACTAGACATTATATAACTTACTAAGTCAGCAATCTTCAACCAATATGCTGGAAGAATTTTTTTAATGTGCAATACCTGATGTCTTTTCCCTTAGACAGTGAAATAAAAAAATGACAACAGCCAACAAAACAATAGCCATCCAGTATGAATGAATCAAAATTATACCTTTTTTTGGGTCTGATTGGCAAAAAATATATTTTTTGGTGTGACCCAGAATTTTAGTAATTAGTGCCATGAGATGAAAAAGGTTGAAAATCTCGGTACTAAGTGGTCATCCCGATAAATCTTGTATCAGTCTGACACTATACATAGTTATTACAATATTATTGACTGTATTCACTATGTTATACTTTACATCCCCAGGACTATCCTGTAACTACCAATTTGTTCTTCTTAATCCCTTCACCCTTTTCACCAATCCCCACTCCCATCTTGCAGCCATCAACATGTTCTTTGTATCTATGAGCCTGTTTCTGTTCTGCTTCTTTTATTTTGTTTTTTAGATTCAATTGTTGATAAATATGCATTTATTGCCATTTTATTGTTCATATTTTTTATCTTTTTTTTTCCCTTCTCCCTCTTAAAGGAGACCTTTTAACATTTCATGTAATACTGGTTTGGTGGTGATGAACTTGATAGCTTTTTCTTGTCTGGGAAGTTCTTTATATATTCTTCAATTCTATGATAGCTTTGCTGAGTACAGTAATCTTGGTTGTAAGGCCCTTGCTTTTCATTTCATCACTTTGAATATTTCTTGACATTCCCTTCTGGCCTGCAAAGTTTCTGTTGAAAAATCAGCTGACAGTCATATAGGAACTCCCTTATAGCTAACTAACAGCTTTTCTCTTGCTGGCTTTAAGACTCTCTCTTTGGCTTTAACTTTTGTAATTTTAATTTTTATGTGTCTTGGTGTGGGCTTTTTTGGCTTTGTCTTATTTGGGACTCTATGCTTCCTGGAGACTTGTATGTCTATTTTCTTCAGGTTATAGAAATTTTCTGTAATTTTTTTTTCTTACATAGGTTTTCAATTTCTTGCTCTCTTCTTCTGGCACCCCCAGGATGTGAATATCGGCTAGGGGACTGACAGGTCCTAGGTTCGATTCCAGAACAGGGGACATGCCCAGGTTGTGGGCTCAATCCGTGGTTGGAGGTTTGCAAGAGACAGCCAATCAATGATTCTCTATCATCATGAATGTTTCTAACTCTCTCTCCCTCTCCCTCTCTGAAATCAATAAAAATATATTCTAAAAAACAACAACAAAAAAAAACCTTAAAAAAAAACTTTCCCTCATCAACTATTTGGTTACTCTGAAATATAGTCCATACAGGGAAAGCAGGATAAATGCTTGATTCTTTCCCTGGAAATATTTTCAAATAATAATTTGGTGTCCTAGCAGCATACAAAGGAAACCAGTGAGCATGTTTTTGTTTGTTTTGCTTTTGAGCATCATTACAAATTCATGGGTTTTATATACGTATGCTTCATTCTATTGACAAATTGGACTCATGGGAATCAGTTCAAACATGACTAAGATTTTCAAAGATACAATGATCACAACACATAGGCAACGTGTGCAGAAGTTCATGGCAGCCAGAGCTGCTCCCAGATCCTGTCTTGCCTCAATTAGGATGCACTCTGGCCCAAATTTCAACATGTGAGGTCTCTAAGTGATGTGTGTGGAGCATGACTTCAGCCAAAGAGAGCTATTTCAGTTTTGAAACATCTCCAGTTTATTCTCTAGTAACTGCATAGCTTGTGTGAAATTTTCTAGGAAATCATGCCTTATAAATACATACATCTCAGGTTCATCTCAGTGAGCAGTCTCAACAGACCACGCCTACCCTGCGAAAGCATTCCATCAGTAGGGACTCCTGGTGGTAAAAACCTCTAGTGTGCTTGTCAGAAGGTTTCTTGTTAGCAAGTTTCTAAGATGATTTGATTGTGACACCTTTCTGTTTCTCTGTTTCTTGGGCAGTAAAAGGAGAGAATGGGTTGCAGGTCTGCTGCTAGCCCTCTCTACCCATCAGGGTTTTTGCTTCTTCCTTTTGTTTGTGTCTCCTTTCCCTGATGCTGAAAATCTTGGTACCTAATGACATTAATGTTATATTGCTTTATCCTAACATATATATATATATATCCATAATTATCTATAATAATAAAAGTGTAATATGCTAATTAGGACAGCCAAACGACCTTCTGGATGAAGCCACAGCTGTGAGGGCTGAGCTCCTTGCACGAATTTTGTGCATCAGGCCTCTAGTGTATATCCTATATAATAAAAAGCTAATATGCAAATCGACCGAATGGCAGAACAACCAGTCACTATGATGCGCACTGACTACCAAGGGGCAGACGCTCAATGCAGGAGCTGCCCCCTGGTGGTCAGTGTGCTCCCACAGGGGGAGCGCCGCTCAGCCAGAAGCCCTGAGCCGGGCTCACAGCTGACAAGCACAGCAGCAGTGGCGGGAACCTCTCCCACCTCCACAGCAGCACTAAAGATGTCCGACTGCCGTCAGTCAGACTTCCCCCGAGGGCTCCTGGACTTCAAGAGGGCGTAGGCTGGGCTGAGGGACCACCCCCTCCAACACATGAATTTCATGTACCGGGCTTCTAGTATAGTTAATGACAGTGGCCACCTTACCACTAACAACAGGGACACTGAATGTAGTTTAAGATTCCTTTATGGTTCTTTTTGTTTTTAGTAAATATTTTACTAGATATTTGTAATAGGGTATTATTAAATCACTTGAATAACTTTGTGTAGTTATGCCAACAACTTTATAAAAATTTAGATTCAGTTGTTTTGGCTTTTAAATAATTATTTTGTTTTCTGTTATTTAGACTTGTTATTAATGTATTATTAATACATGAAAAGCTTATGTAACATAAATTGCATATGCGTGGCTTTGTGTGGTTGCAGTCAGACTATATTGGAAGTGGGTTATATGGCAATTGCTTCTAGACTTGCTTCCTTTGTCATCCTCCCCACCATGTCGCTGCCATATTGCTTCTCCTAAAGGAGGTCAGCTTCCTATCTGGTGTCCCTGCCTTCAACATCCCCACCCCCACTCCCCATTGTCTAATCTTTCTTTCTGTTGAGAAGCCTCCAGTAGCTTCCTGCCACATGCAGAATAAATCCAGCTCCTTACCTGTACTAATGAGGCCTTCCATGATTAAGCCCCTCCTATCTCTCCAACTGCATCTTCTGCCACTCCTCTACTCACAGGATTCCAGCCACACTGCCTTCCTGCTCTGTCCCAATTATGTGGGGGATCTCCAAGACTGCAACCCCAGGCTTGATGATTCTCTAGAAAGACTCACAGGACTTAGTATATAGTGATATTTACAGCTGTGGTTTATTACAGCAAAAGAATACGAAGCAAAATCAGCAAAGGGAAAGGTGCATGCGGTGAAGTCTAGGGAAGCCAGACACAGGCTTACAAGGGGCCTTTCCTAGGAGAGTCACACAGTACATGCTTCATTTCCCCAGCAACAAGTGACAACCCATGTGAAATGTTGTTTGCCAGGGAAGCTTGTTAGAGACTAAGTACCTGGAGTTCTTTTTTTTGTTGTTGTTAAATATATTTTATTGATTTTTTTACAGAGAGGAAGGGAGGGAGATAGCTAGAAACATTGATGAGAGAGAAACATCGATCAGCTGCCTCCCGCACATCCCCCACTGGGGATGTGCACGCAACCCAGGCACATGCCCCTGACCAGAATCGAACCCGGGCCCCTCCA